AAGAGGTGGATTTTTTCTCTGTCTATGAAGCAGCTAAACTCCAGTTGCCATTGAATTTAACCTGAAATTTATTTTCAAATATGAAAGTTCTCTCTTTAGCTTTTTTTTTGAAATGTAGCAAAATGTTTTGCTTTTTAATTTTTAATTTGTTTTAGGAGATAAGCCAAAGATCCAAAGGACGATCCTGAGCTTAATAATTATTAGCATATATTTGCATAAAAGAATATGGGGAATTCAGGGAGATTAGCAAGTCATACGCAGGGTGGAAGTGTCGACATTTTGGCTGGACCCCAAATAGCAAAATCTAACCTTGAATGAAGGAAATATTGTATGTTCCATACAATTGCTAAACCGTACTGAACATTTCAGATATCATATCACACAATTATCAGATTGGCATTTCTATCCCTGATTTTTATTCCTGAGTTCTCATCATTTAATTATTCATTTTCTCAAGTCTGGGGACAGTGAGAAAAATCAGACTTTCACATAAACATATCTCTACCGTTGTTCCAAAGTAAAGGGTGGTTTTTTTAGTTATTTGTTCTCGATGGGGAAAAACTAAAAGCTTTATAGTTCCTCTATCTATTCTTATTATTCAGTATTCTTCCATTGTAATGTGACTTTTAATATACAATGCAATCCACATTTCAGTTTTATTTTGCCTGTTTATCATGAATAATGAATTTATGTTGATTATGAATCCATGTTTTAATATACATATATATTTGGTTTATTTCTATATGGAGCATTGGTGGCTATTGTTAAAATCATTGCCAAATTAACATCATATTAAAATAGTAAAAGCTGCATGTAATTAAACAGCAAGCAAAATTCGCATTTCTTTTCCTTCCAGCCTGAAGTAATATTTTCAATTGTTTTGTGTTAAATATTAATTCAAATGAACTTCAGTAGGATCAGAATTAACAATAGTCCTACTGCGATTGGACAGAAAGTTAAACTTCAGCTGACAATCTTCTATCTGCCAACTTAATGTGGCTCTCATTGTAGGATAAATGAAAGACAGAGTGAACTATATGGCAGAAAAGTCCACATCATTGTAAAGAAACTGATCTAAAACGGTCCTGTGAATATTCATTCGTTATTTAACTTCCATTTAGACCAGTGGGGAATTCTGGCAGCTTGAAATCCACACATTTTAAAATATCTGAGGTTATGGAACACTGATTTAGGACAAGGGGACATATTTAATAAGGCAGTGGATATTATTTCCTGCTAGGAAAGCGTAAAATTTCAGTAGAACTGTACCTTGCCTTAGCTCAATCTTAAGACAAATTTGAAATGTGGGTCAAACTGTTCAACCGTTGCTCCGTACGTGAAAATAAAGCTTCCAGTTCTATGGGTCAAACTACATGTTACATTAAGCACAGAATATACCACCGACTCTTATGTTTGATGGGCCATTAAGATGCTGGGTTTTTAGGCTGGAAAGCAAACAGCCAGGTTCAAGAACCATGCCATGTGAGAGGATGAGCTCCCATCCTCCCCTCATCTCCTGCTAACCTAGCAGTTCGAAAACATGTAAACGTGAGTAGATAAATAGGTACCACTTTAGTGGGAAGGTAACAGTATACAATGGTCTTGAAACAGAGATGAGCACCATCCCCTATGTCAGGGGTTCCCAACTGGGGGTGCCAGACAACATTTCAGGGGGTGCGAAAACTTGGGTCTGGAAGTTTCAAAACTATAGTGTATATGCATAATTTTTTGTAAGGGATGTGAGAATATATCAGAAGCGTTCTAGGGGCGAGGGGTATAGAAAAGGTTGGGAACTGCTGCCCTATGTAGTCAGAGTAAAATCCACAGGGATTCCTTACTTCTGAAGTAGGATCCCTAGATTGCAACCTTCATAAACACAGGGGATGGGATCTCCTTGCTTGCATCATTTTGACCAAAACAGTGTCACAACATCATTCTGCAAGGGTCTCTCTCCATTTGGGTGCAATGTTGCAACATGTATAGAAAAAATTAAGTTTTGTATTGGAGTGGTATAAATCTGCTTCCCTCATTCTGACCAGCCTTCCCTTACACTCAAAGCTGGCACTACTTCTCAGCATTTTACTTATGTTGTTTGCTGCCTGGACATTTTTTTATCCTTTATTCCTAACACCCACGAAGGAGATAGAATTTTTTTAAAAAATGACTGGGGATGGATAAAATTAAGCTTTAAAAAAGAAAAATTCTCAGCCTACAATAATTCTCTCTCAACTTTCTTTGGAGCCAAAAAGAACAGTAGGTTACATGCTTAACGCAACATGCAGTTTAACCTTCAATCTCCTTCTGATAGTTAAGAGATCCTTCTTGCAAATAAAATGCCAATATTTTGTTTTAGGTCTTGAATACTAGGGAAGCTAATGGCACATCAACTGCTCTAATATTTCTCAAGGAAAAAAATGAGAACATATATATTAAAATGTATATTGTTGCATCAGCGAATAAGTCCAAATTTGTATGCGTCAGCACTGAAAGCATACTCAAACATCTACAATATTCTGAACTCAGATATAGGTAGAATATTAATGCTTTTCAATGGGATGAGTGACAAAAAAAAAAGCCATAGTAATAACTTTCATGCTATGGTAGATGTGCTGTACCATTCCCCGTGCAATTAAGATCACAATAAAATATATTTTTTCACCACCACGATGCAGTGCTGTATTTAGTTTAAGAGAGTTGGGACATTCCTGATTGCAGGCAAAGTTTTCTTGAAGATTGGTCCACGGGTTATGGCAAACAGTCCACTAAGATCTCCTTAAAATGAACTTTACTCATTGAAGTATTTATGAATGACAGAAAAAAAAATTACTTTTTTTTTCCTTTATGAGTTTCTGGAGACCATATTCGTGAATCGTATAGAGACATGCACAAGTATCGGTTTTGGGGAGCAAAGAATCTCTCTGCTAGCCCTCTCCAGGATTTTTCCAGCTAATGTTAATACAGGTTTACAAAAAAGAGGAAAATAAATCACCGTAGACACCAACGAGAAGGCAAAGGACAAAACACGTTGTAAAGCTACAGAGCACTACTGCTCACTACAACAAGCCGTTCTAAGTGTTGCTCCCAGAGAATTAAGTCTTTCGTCATAAATGGGGACGGCTAAAAGATTTAGAAGCTGTCTTTTACGATGTCCAAATTTGCTTTCTGTCAAAGCGGATCAAATCCAACATCTTCCGAAGCTGAAGGGTGCCCACGAACGAGCAACCGATGCTCTAACTTAAGTGAGATTTGTGTCATTCTACACTGGGAGCAAGGCAGAACACTTTTCAATCACACACTTTTTTTTTTCTCCACACAGCTAGGCATGCCTTTACCACGAGGTTCAAAATTACTGGTAAACAAGAAGCCATTTAAGAGGTGCAACATCTGCAGATCCTTGGAAGATGCCAAGTGTTGCAGTAACTTCTCTGCAGTTGGATCATATGAATAATGCCAAACTGTCAGGAAGCCAGGTCTCTTGTTCACAAATCTACTCCAAATCCACAGGATAGAAGAACAAAACAGAAAGAAGGTCACAGACTACACAGAATGAGAAGACAGAAGCAGGAACGGGAGAAAGAAAATAACCGATTCAGGGTATGCCGTTCAAAAAAGGCTCATCAGGAGCGGTTAAGAAGGAAGCAATGCCAGGGTGAAGTTGGAGGCCTTCAGATGAATGAAATTAAAGAGAAATCAAAAGGGATTTGGTGGAGCCATGCCTTGTTGTTTTTCAAGACACAACAACTGCATGGAAGGTTGGTTCACGTTCAGTACTGAATATCAGCACGATGAACGCAAAACAGACCGGCACAAAGGTCAACCCAGTCAAATATTCCAGTTTTTCTACAAAAAAAGCTATACAAAGGGCCATCGTTAGAACTGTAGTAGCTTCCAGGTGGGGTGATATTTCAGTTATTCTGATTCAGTGTTAGGTTCAAAACTGAAAGCGAAACAAACAAAACAAAACAAACAAACAAAGAAACCTGAAAAAGCATTTAGCGGAAGAGATGGTACGAAGCACGGCATGGAACAGAAACTCTGGAAGAACGCTTGATGCGGGAATTTGAACAAGGGAGGGGGGCGAACGTAAAAGCAACACGTAGCAAAAGTTAATAGACACGAAGCAGACACTGTTGCAACAAAACACAAGTACATAAAACAGGGGAAGAGGAGTACTGGACAGGAGAGACAATTTTCCTATTGAATGAAATCTGAGATAATTTTTCCTATCAGCTTAATCATTTATCCTAAGGTGACGGGACTAAATTTAATTTATACGGGGCGTTATTCCTGCAAAGAAGTTAGTGCAGAAGACACACACACACACCAAAAAAAAAAACAATGAAGAAACCAACTGTTGCTATCAAATGTTCTCTCCTCTTTGAAACTTTGGGGCTCAATATATATATAATATAATATAAAATATGTATATATATTATATATTATATATATATATATATATATATAAATGTGAAAGATAGACAAAGGTGTTATCTTCCTGTATTCTTGGTAAGGAATTAGTCCTGAAGTTAGAAGGATTGGAGGTAGGACTGAGGTTGGAAGGAAAGGTAACGAAGAGAGCATACCGTTTTCGGCTTCTGCAAACGACAAGAAAAAAAAAATTGCAAATCAAACACTTGGAGAAGAAATGAACGGATGCCAAAAAAAAGAGAGGCCGAGATGAAATAAATAAATAAGTTAATAACCCCACAACACTTTTATTTTGAAATTCTCCAAAGCTATTCTCCTTCCTTTTTTAAAAAATTATTTTTTTTAAAAAAAGGAAGTTGTGTTACAAATGAGGACAAATAAAATGGAGAGAGACAAGGAGAAACGTCCAACAGAGGGATAAACATGGGGGAGAGGATGTGAGAGAAGAATGTTATTTTTTATTATTATTATTATTATTTTTATGTTCCACTTTTTTTTTATAAGAGCTGGCAAATAAATAAATAAAGCCACCACCAAATTAGAATTTGACAAAAAAAAGAGAGAGAGAGAGAGATCATGGCTTTTTAACGGGCTCGTGTGGAATTTCACCGTTATTTTAGAAATTTTCTCAAAGACTACAGGGATATTTCAGTTGTTTTTTTTTAACTTTTCCTTGAAAATTCAAGGAACATCAAAGGCCTACGGACTATATTTCTTAAAAAAAAAAGAAAAAATTCAGCAAGGTATCCTTATTCGATCCAAACGGCCAAATATTCCATGACGCTTAGAAATCCCGTTTCACCAAAGTCGTAGTGAGAAAAAAAACAAACACAAATGCAAAGGGATTTCAGCGGGATACCTTGCTTCTCAGATCCGTCATCCAGCTAGGAATTGGAAGAAGGACCAATTTCGCTGCTTGTTTTCACAATACACACATTTTGTGTGGGGACAACGGGCCACGCATCCTCCCCAAAGCTTCAGTCAACAACGCGAGCACGTTGCTATGGGCTATGATTTTCCACATGTCAGAAACATGATTTAAGGTTTGAGCGGAACTTTTAGCAGACCATCTTAAACTCTGTGTAGCTACTACTGAATAGAAGTGTTGATATGACTAAAGAGTCAGTCATTGATGGCCTTGGTTCTGCTTATCTGCATTTAAAAGAAAATTCCGCACGCAAATCACTCTTTCAAGCCTTATATGTCTAAATTCCCTGGATTATTCCTTAATCTAGAAGAGGCTAATCCAGGGGTCTTCAAACTTGGCCCTTTTATGACTTGTGGACTTCGACTCCCATAATTCCTCAGCCAGGCACGCGTGCCTGGCTGAGGAATTCTGGGAGTCGAAGCCCACAAGTCATAAAAGGGCCAAGTTTGAAGACTCCTGGGCTAATCTAATATGTAATCTCCAAGTCCTTTTGAAGGCCACCAAGGGGGTCCATTCAATTAAAGGGGAAATAGATTGTCCAGTACTTCTGAAAGGGAAATGGCGGCTGTTATACACGTTAGTCATTTGCAACAAAAGAAATTACGGCAGAGGAACCGACGTGGAATTCATGAATGTAAGTACCAATGAAAGCTTGGGCAAGCAATTGTTGTTAATATTTCATCTGTGTTTGTTATCCATTTTAGTAAGGAGCAGGCTGGGTCAAAATCAGGTTTTGCTTTTTCATTTAGATTGTTTCAAGGGAGCTGCGGAGTGCCAGCATTTATTTTCAAGGCATTCCTGAATGAAATGGTGAAAAGGCTGGCGCTCGTGCTTCTTGGAAATGGGACGTCTCTCAAATAAATTAATATTGGATAACATAAAACCAACATATTTTGTTTTGTTTCACTTTTGCATATTGTTTCTTACAAGGGATGCAAATGACAAAACGGCGTTACGGTTGCCCCAAACTTTGACATAACTAGAAAATTTGAATCTGGGTTTTACGTAAAGCGCACACCTCACAAAGCGATGAAGAAGAAGGAAATAAAAAAAACTGACAGGGGGGCAAAACCAATCAATAACGTGGAAAGAGAACGTTGTTTTTTTAAAAATTTCAAGGGCAAATGATAGGTGTCACAGAACCGATTCCTGCTGAAATTACATCCTGGTGCTAAGATATCTTGGTATGCAGGGGAACAAATATAACATAGTTATATTTGAGAAACTCTTCGCTTGAGATGTTGAATTCCAAGGATCTATTTCAAGGCTTCTTCTCATTTTCTACTCATCTTTGATTCTTTGAATTTTTCAAAGCGCTTCCCGGTCACATCAGTAGATCCAGCAGGTTTGACCAGTTAAGTGATAATAACTATGATGGTATGTCAGATGTGGCTGCCAAATGTTACCTTTATCATTAAAGGAGAACATTTATAGCTCAGGGTTAAAATGAGGAGTCCTTGGTGCTCTCTAAGCTTGGTGGTTTTCTTGCAGATGTTTCAGGACCCAACTAGGGAACATCATCAGTGCTAGAAGGGATGGTATTGGAGGAGGAGGAGAAGGAGAATTGTGGGGTCCCTGGTGCTCTCTGAGCTTGGTGGTTTTCTTGCAGATATTTCATTACCCAATGACTAGCATTGATGTTACCTAGTTTGGGTAATGAAATCTTCTACTAGGATTTTACTCTAAGTAGGAGAAAAAACTAAAGGTGAGAGGCTGGGGGAAAAACTTTGTGCACCTTGAACTGTGAAAAAGGGATTATTATTTTTTTTAGCAGAAATGCTAACTATCTTGGATTAGTATCTGTTAAAATGGGGAATGGAGTTACGTTAAAATGGTCTTCTAAACATGATTTCTATAATTCCAAGCTTGTAATAATGGACCAAAAGAAGCCATAGATAAAATTTTCTGTTGAACTTGAATAATGATCTGGCAGAACACGTTTACTTTTTTGTGATACGTTTCTCTATTTGCCTGGTGTGATAGACAGAACTCTATGGTCTTTCAAGCCAAGCTCTGTCCTACGACTCAAATTGCATCAGTCCTATGTATAGATTTATGTACGTCCCTTGGAGATACTTACCCTGGTTAGACTGTACTGGGTTATGAATAAGTTGTAGAATTACCAAGAAGGAACTGAACTGGGATTCTAAGTTATCGTTCATCAACTCTGCCTAGGTGCAATTTTAATTGAGAACTTCCGTTCTACATTGCAGGGGGACTGTTTTAAGGGCAATTTCAATTAAAACCATCAATTCATCAATTTTGTTGGAATTTGATTAGGTATATGCTGGCACCACGATGTCAGAGTGCCTGGAATATAAAATCCTTTTATAAATATAAACGCCCACCCAAATAAGCAAGAAACAAAGAAAGGAAAAGAAGGAACGAAAGAAAGAAAGAAAGAAAGAAAGAAAGAAAGAAAGAAAGAAAGAAAGAAAGAAAGAAAGAAAGAAAGAAAGAAAGAAAGAAAGAAAGAAATTCAAGCAGGCCAAATAATCAAAGGTGCACGATGAAAATGTTTTGCTAGACAGTTACATACCTGCTTTCCCGTTCCACCGACTTGTATTCTATGGCTATCATTAAGAGTTTTAGCTTCGCAAAGACCAGCCTGCCAACAAAAGCAGAATATTTTATTTATTTTGTTGATATCATGAGTACTTTGCTGTTGTTCTTAAGGTTGTCTACATGCAGACCATTCTAAAATGTAGCTTAGCTCTTTGCCTGCACTCCTCAACCTCGTCAAAGTCTCTCTGACCCTTTGTAACAACAAAATACTTATATCAACAGAAGTTCTCTATATTTATCTAGCTGGAAAGATCTCAATTATTCATAGGAATGGTGCTTTGATAACCCTCTGAAGCTCTTTCCCCCATATGCATTTTATGTTCAGATTCCTCCCAAAGCAGAAATGACGTCATAGGTTGCCTTCAAATCTATTTTAACTATGAAGCATCAGAAACATGGTGATTTTTAACACAGAGATACATGAATAATTTGCTTTACGGAAACCATGATCGTCTTATCTTCCCCCCAAAAAGGAATAAATTACTCTATTTAAATCAGAAGAGAAGGGGCTGACATAAATTGGAGGTAGAACCTATATGTTTAATTCATTGAAATATGTAGGAAATAACTATATCTCTCATTTTCTTGATATAAGTAAGTATAAAATAACTATATCTCTTATTTTCTTGATATAAGTATAAAATAACTATATCTGTTTTCTTCATATAGTATAAAATATGTATCTCTTATTTTCTTGATATAAGTATAAAATAAGTATCTGTTATTTTCTTGATATAAGTATAAAATATGTATCTGTTATTTTCTTGAAATAAGTATAAAATAACCATATCTGTTATTTTCTTGAAATAAGTATAAACTAACCATATCTGTTATTTTCTTGATATAAAATAACTGTTATTTTCTTGATATAAGTAAGTATAAAATTATATCTGTTATTTTCTTGATATAAGTATAAAATAGCCATGCTATTTTCTTGATATAAGTATAAAATAACCATATCTGTTATTTTCTTGATATAAGTATAAAATAATTATGTTATTTTCTTGATATAAGTAAGTATAAAATTATATCTGTTATTTTCTTGATATAAGTATAAAATAACCATATCTGTTATTTTCTTGATATAAGTATAAAATAACCATATCTGTTATTTTCTTGATATAAAATAACTATATCTGTTATTTTCTTGATATAAGTATAAAATAACTATATTATTTTCTTGATATAAGTAAGTATAAAATTATATCTGTTATTTTCTTGATATAAGTATAAAATAACCATATCTGTTATTTTCTTGATATAAAATAACTATATCTGTTATTTTCTTGATATAAGTATAAAATAACTATATCTGTTATTTTCTTGATATAAGTAAGCATAAAATAACTATGTTATTTTCTTGATATAAGTAAGTATAAAATAACCATGTCTGTTATTTTCTTGCTATAAGTATAAAATAACTATGTCTGTTATTTTCAGTGTCTTGCCTTATGATTTTTGGACTTCTCTTGATCCATTAATGCAGGGGTCTTCAAACTTGGCCCTTTTATGACTTGTGGACTTGGCTGGCTGAGGAATTCTGGGATTTGAAGTCCACAAGTCATAAAAGGGCCAAGTTTGAAGAACCCTACATTAATGAATACAAGTGGTCAGTCCTCAACATACAACTACAATTGAGCTCAAAATTTATGTCGCTAAGCAAGACATCTGTTAAATGAGCTTTGCCCCATTTCCCAACCTTTCCTGACATAGTTGTTAAGTGAACCACTGCAGTTGTTACATTGTTCAATGAATCTGGCTTTGCCATTGACTGTGCTTGTCAGAAGGTCGTTGAAGATGATCATCACATGACCCCTAGCACATGGCAATCGTCCTAAATACATGCTAGCCGCCAAATGTCGACTTTTGATCACAAGATAACGTTAAACAGCAAAGACAGGCAAAATTCAGAATATCTAAAAGGTGGAGAATGCTTTTGAGAGATTTGGACCATATATCATCAACCTTGTCAACTCTCATCTTTACTCTTTCTACTATGTATTCAAAATGGACAGTGATTAATATTTATGTTTGTGTGTGTACGTATGTACGTATGTAGTAGATATATATAGATATGTATGTATCATGAGTATATGTGTTGTGGCTCCGTCCTGTGAGCCCATCTTATCGGAGGAAGAAGGCTCCGAACATGAAGGAGAGGAGATGGCCAGGCCTCTCTCTCCAGGACCCTCCTCTCTGGCAATGCCTCAGGTGTCTCCCGACGGAGAAGAGATTGACCAGGAGCCAGGTGTTTCTGAGATTGGCCAGGAGCCAGGTGTTTCGGATAGTGAGGAAGATACGTTGTGGCTGGATCCACGCCAGCGTAGGAGCGACAAGCGTGTGCAGCAGAAAAGGAGACGTGCCAGAGATTAAGCTGAGTCACTGGACCACACCCCACAGGCTATAAAAGGGAGGTGGTGGCCATTTGGACTCTGTGACGGACAAAGCTGAATCTCTGGCGAAGTAGTTTGCTGTGGACTTAATTTTCTAACTGTGTGTACTGTTTTTTGTTCTCTGAGTAAAAGTCTTGGCAGGCAGCTACGGAGCTGCTGCCAAGTTTTCTTATCTGTGGATTGAAGTGTGGAGAAGTTCTTTAACCCTCGGCTGGCTATTTGGGTGTGTGTGTCCAACGGGGACAGAACAATATGTATATGGGTAGATATATATTTTCTTTCGAAAGCAGGCAACGGAATTTCATTTTTAATATGGGCCAGGATGCTCATAGTAAAAAAATGACAATAAAGGTTATATTATCTTATGTTCTATGCTTGTAGAGCTTGATCAATTCCTTCCCAGAATCAAGTGCATTTTAGCTTTTGTGCCCTTTCTACATGCCTAAAATATTCATGCAACTAAAATATTTATTCCTCTTTTCAGAGATTCTCATTGCTGCTGGTTAATCCACTCCAAGTAAGACAATCACAGTCCTAAGTCGTGACGGGCATAAAGTCGGTTTTCACACGATCGAAGCAATTTTACGAGCTTTTTTGCCGGGGTCATTAAGCAGAACCCGTTGTATGCCAGGCGACATTTTTGCAGGAAAACCGGGTTTTTGCAAAAGGATCGTAAATTGCAGTCATGTGACCACGGGGCACTGCACATGGCCATGGATTTGGGCTGTTTGCCAAGTGGGTAACAGTGAGATGATGTGACCACGAGAAGGGGCAGCCGCTGGAACTACAGAACGGTGTCCAGGTACCTTTTGGGCCCCTTGTAACTTTGAACAGCTTCTAAGCAATTGATCATAATTCAAGGACTACCTGTACATCAGAATCAGGTCTGGATCAGAATAGAGCTGGAAGGGAACTTAGAGGTCTTCTAGTCCAGTCCCCTGCTCAAGCAGGAGACCCTAGACCATTTCAATCAATCAATCAATCAATCAATCAATCAATCAATCAATCAATCAACCAATCAGACAGACAGACAGACAGACAGAATAGAGGTGGAAGAGACCTTGAAGGTCTTCTAGTCCAGCAACCTACTCAAGCAGAAGATCCTAGGCCATTTCAATCAATCAATCAATCAATCAATCAATCAATCAATCAATCAACCAGTCAGACAGACAGACAGACAGACAGCAGAATAGAGCTAGAAGAGACCTTGCAGGTCTTCTAGTCCAGCCACCTGCTCAAGGAGACCCTAGGCCATTTCAATCAATCAACCAGTCAGTCAGTCAGTCAGTCAGTCAGTCAGTCAGTCAGTCAGTCAGACAGACAGACAGACAGACAGACAGACAGACAGACAGACAGACAGTCAGTCAGTCAGTCAGTCAGTCAGTCAGTCAGTCAGTCAGTCAGTCAGAGAGAACAGAGCTGGAAGGGACCTTGGAGGTTTTCTAGTCAAGGAGGAGACCCTAGAGCAGGGGTCCCCAACCCTCAGGCCATGGACCAGTACTGGTCTGTGGCATGCCAGCAACTGGTCCGCACAAACAAGTAAAGCCCCATCAGTTGAGGATTACATCTGTGTTCTAATGTTAGAGGATAAGAACTACAATGCATTAACCTCCCTCCTTTGTGATTATGCCTAACATCAGATAAAATTGACAGTAATCAACTCACGATATATATTTTTTAAAGGGCCGTGTAAAACAATTGTTTTAAGATTGAGTTCCAACCTCCACAGAGCCGTTATCACGACGATAAGTATCCTCTGGGAAAGATTTAGTTACCATGCAAAATGTCACAGAAGCCATCCCAAATTTTATGCTTAGCAGATTACGTGACGTTACATCTGCTAGACTTTATAAGTAGCCATGGGAAATGTTAATGTGGGCTGTTAATGGGGCAATCATAAACCTTTGGCAGATGACAGCAAACCCTTACTGCGATGACTACTTAATTTAGAAATCCGTTTTAGAAATCTTTGGCAGGATGAAATTCAAAAGCAACGAACGCTGGAAAAAGTGGCTTTTGAAAAACATCCCTGTAAAAGGTGGTCCCAAAAGGGAGCAAAAACTAGAAACATGGAAGTCTTTCAGATTTTCTTCAAAATTTCCAATCTCTGGGAAATTTCTAAGTTGCTGGAATGGAGGGATCCATAAATTTTACAAACTGGAGCTAGTNCACAGAACCGATTCCTGCTGAAATTACATCCTGGTGCTAAGATATCTTGGTATGCAGGGGAACAAATATAACATAGTTATATTTGAGAAACTCTTCGCTTGAGATGTTGAATTCCAAGGATCTATTTCAAGGCTTCTTCTCATTTTCTACTCATCTTTGATTCTTTGAATTTTTCAAAGCGCTTCCCGGTCACATCAGTCGATCCAGCAGGTTTGACCAGTTCTGTGATAATAACTATGATGGTGTGTCAGATGTGGCTGCCAAATGTTACCTTTATCATTAAAGGAGAACATTTATAGCTCAGGGTTAAAATGAGGAGTCCTTGGTACTCTCTAAGCTTGGTGGTTTTCTTGCAGATGTTTCAGGACCCAACTAGGGAACATCATCAGTGCTAGAAGGGATGGTATTGGAGGAGGAGGAGGAGAAGGAGAATTGTGGGGTCCCTAGTGCTCTCTGAGCTTGGTGGTTTTCTTGCAGATATTTCATTACCCAATGACTAGCATTGATGTTACCTAGTTTGGGTAATGAAATCTTCTACTAGGATTTTACTCTAAGTAGGAGAAAAAACTAAAGGTGAGAGGCTGGGGGAAAAACTTTGTGCACCTTGAACTGTGAAAAAGGGATTATTATTTTTTTTAGCAGAAATGCTAACTATCTTGGATTAGTATCTGTTAAAATGGGGAATGGAGTTACGTTAAAATGGCCTTCTAAACATGATTTCTATAATTCCAAGCTTGTAATAATGGACCAAAAGAAGCCATAGATAAAATTTTCTGTTGAACTTGAATAATGATCTGGCAGAACACGTTTACTTTTTTGTGATACGTTTCTCTATTTGCCTGGTGTGATAGACAGAACTCTATGGTCTTTCAAGCCAAGCTCTGTCCTACGACTCAAATTGCATCAGTCCTATGTATAGATTTATGTACGTCCCTTGGAGATACTTACCCTGGTTAGATTGTACTGGGTTATGAATAAGTTGTAGAATTACCAAGAAGGAACTGAACTGGGATTCTAAGTTATCGTTCATCAACTCTGCCTAGGTGCAATTTTAATTGAGAACTTCCGTTCTACATTGCAGGGGGACTGTTTTAAGGGCAATTTCAATTAAAACCATCAATTCATCAATTTTGTTGGAATTTGATTAGGTATATGCTGGCACCACGATGTCAGAGTGCCTGGAATATAAAATCCTTTTATAAATATAAACGCCCACCCAAATAGCAAGAAACAAAGAAAGGAAAAGAAAGAAAGAAAGAAAGGAAAAGAAAGAAAGAAAGAAAGAAAGAAAGAAAGAAAGAAAGAAAGAAAGAAAGAAAGAAAGAAAGAAAGAAAGAAAGAAAGAAAGAAAGAAAGAAATTCAAGCAGGCCAAATAATCAAAGATGCACGATGAAAATGTTTTGCTAGACAGTTACATACCTGCTTTCCCGTTCCACCGACTTGTATTCTATGGCTATCATTAAGAGTTTTAGCTTCGCAAAGACCAGCCTGCCAACAAAAGCAGAATATTTTATTTATTTTGTTGATATCATGAGTACTGTGCTGTTGTTCTTAAGGTTGTCTACATACAGACCTTTCTAAAATGTAGTTTAGCTCTTTGCCTGCACTCCTCAACCTCGTCAAAGTCTCTCTGACCTTTTGTAACAACAAAATACTTATATCAACAGAAGTCCTATAAATTTATCTGGCTGGAAAGATCTCAATTATTCATAGGAATAGTGCTTTGATAAACCTCTGAAGCCCTTTCCCCCATATGCATTTTATGTTCAGATTCCTCCCAAAGCAGAAATGACGTCATAGGTTGCCTTCAAATCTATTTTAACTATGAAGCATCAGAAACATGGTGATTTTTAAAACCGAGATACATGAATAATTTGCTTTACGGAAACCATGATCGTCTTATCTTCCCCCCAAAAAGGAATAAATTACTCTATTTAAATCAGAAGAGAAGGGGCTGACATAAATTGGAGGTAGAACCTATATGTTTAATTCATTGAAATATGTAGGAAATAACTATATCTCTCATTTTCTTGATATAAGTAAGTATAAAATAACTATATCTCTTATTTTCTTGATATAAGTATAAAATAACTATATCTGTTTTCTTCATATAGTATAAAATATGTATCTCTTATTTTCTTGATATAAGTATAAAATAAGTATCTGTTATTTTCTTGATATAAGTATAAAATATGTATCTGTTATTTTCTTGATATAAGTATAAAATAACTGTATCTGTTATTTTCTTGACATGTATAAAATATGTATCTGTTATTTTCTTGATATAAGTATGAAATATGTATCTGTTATTTTCTTGATATAAGTATAAAATAACTGTATCTGTTATTTTCTTGATATAAGTATAAAATAACTATATCTGTTATTTTCTTGATATAAAATAACTTATTTTCTTGATATAAGTAAGTATAAAATTATATGTTATTTTCTTGATATAAGTATAAAATAATTATGTTATTTTCTTGATATAAGTAAGTATAAAATTATATCTGTTATTT